TCAGCCACCCCCCCCCCCCCCCCCCCCCCCCCCACTCCCTTCTGCATCCCCATTCCTATCCCACTTCCTGGCAGCCCCTTTCTGCACATTGAACCCCTCATTTTTGGCCTAACTTCAGAGCCTGGGGGAGCTCACAAAATTTACTAACCTGGGAATATCCACTCCTTAATGCTGAACCCTTCATATTTGGACCCACTCCAGAGCCTACAGTGGCCCACAAAATCTACTAACCTCAGGAACAGAGAAGAGTTAATCTGGCCTGTAGGAAGCCTTGAATTTCAGTTCTCTGTCCCCTGCGGGGCTGGAGTGCCAGGAGAGTGAGATGTCTCAGTTGGCAGCCACATCAGTGATGGTTGGGATTTTTTTGTCTGTTTGGTTTTGGGGTTTTTTTCCGTTCACTTTTGTATGGCCCCCAACTGACTTTTCTGGCATTTGTGGTCCCCAACTCCAAAAAGGCTCCCCACCCCTGCCATAAATAAAAACAATGTTGGAAACTTTTGTTTTGGACATGAATTAATATTTTATTTTACTTAAAGTTTGGGAAACCAACATGATCAAGTTAAAGTGCTACATCTGTTTAATTATTGATTTTAATTAATATTTCCTTTCTTGCTAGTTCTATATGCCCCCTTATGTTACAGCCATGTACAGCCAGTCCCTGAGTTGTGAACGGTCGACTCATGACCATTTGCAGTTAAGACCAAAAATGTCGTAAATGGTGGACCCCGAGTTACGAATGCGATCCTCACTTACGAAGAGTGCGGTCGCATGTAACTCAATGGGGTCCGACTTACAAACAAACCGAGTTACGACTAATTGCTTGGTCTGTAACCAGTTCGTAAATCGGAGACAGGCTGTACTGAGGTGTTTATGCTCCAGTAGCCTAATAAGGATAATTTAGTATTTAAGGTATTTAGAGATAAGCAAAGGCATTTTGTCATCATGGATGGTTGGCTGATGGTGCATGGAAAGGTTCGTGTTAAGCAGGGTGGGCCGTGGGCCAAAAGGTTTGAGAACCACTGTTTTATAATAAAGGTCCTTTTGGAGTATTAGGAGGAAGTGGCTTTGATACTTATGACAGTAGGATTCTTGTCAATAAGTATTCTCTTAAATGAAGTTTCATAGCCATTTGAAACTTGCTATGTTTTAAACATGAAGCTGTTATTCAGCCACACTTTTCAATGTGATTATATTAATGCAGCAAAATTATTGTACTCGTTAGTTGTCCTGATACATTAAGAAAATTAATGTAGTGGCCTATTACTAATAATGATGATGTGCCAAGTTACTTGCCTTTGACTATAGGGAAAGTAATAATTGTGAGGAAAAACTAACTGTTAATTAGTTGGAAACGCCAGCAGTTACAAAAGATATATACTGCAACAAATAGACACTCTGAACATAACAGTTGTAGAGCTGTTTCTTTCCATTTTTCCTAAATATGCACTATATATTTGGGGGAAGTACTATATCAAAAGGGTATTTACTTTATTATGTTCTCCCACTTTATATATAGGGACAATGATTAATCATGTTTGAAAAATTGTTATAGCCCATGGCTGGTACAGAATGTCATAACAGATATGGGAGGGACCTTGAATTTAATAGAGAAGGTTTCGAATCTGGACTTCATGCAGATTTCTTTAAAAAGCAAGCAGAAAATCCTGTAGCACATGGGTGATGAAATACTGTTCACTTCAGCATTCCTTTATTGTTCCGTCCAAATGCCAGTTTTCAAGCTCATGGTCTAAATATAAACCATTGGTATATTAGAGATAAAATTCTACTCACCATGCCTTCTTATGGTTACTAATCTCCCTGCATTCATTTTAATCGTCAGATGTTTTTTGAAGAGCAAAGTGAGCAGGACACCCTAAGGGCTTTCTGAATCCAACTCTCATTTTAAAATTAAACAGCCTTTGAAATGTAATATTGATAGTCGCTCTTTCAGCTAAGAGCATAGAAAAATTATATTACTGTAGGAACTATTTTTTCATAAATATATGTTAAGAAAAACAGATTGCTGTACAGAGTAATTTTATTTGCATATGTTCTAGCTTTATTATAGTGCATTATTATCATGGTTTTCTATTTTAACCAGCAAATTTTAAAATCACAGAAAGGATTCATGTGAATTGTAATTAATGTCAGAAATGTCCTTGAATTTAAATAATTTTTAGAAATAACTCTAGGGGTTTGGGTTTGTGTTAATCATTGTTGCTTCTTAGTTGTGGAATTGAATGTTGCCCTGCTGAAAATTAATTCTTCAGATAACGGGGAGAAAAGTTAATTTCTTTAACCTGGTCTGGAGATTATTTTATCCTAGTATAATTTGTTAGAAATGGAGTGGATATTTGAGATGCATAGAGAAACAGAAGGAGTCATGGTAACTAATTAAACATCAGTTCAAAGGCTAACAAGGACGTATTTCTGTTACCTTGTGAATATTGTAGGTCTGTTCTGTAGATTTTTGTCAAACTGGAACGTTTTAGAACATAGTACACTTGAGAAACTGATTTGTTTTGGCACTTGCTTTATTCAGCACAGTACATTCACGGGCATCTTTATGCAAGTTGCAATTCAGGAGAGAAAAATCAGTTACTGTTTTCATTGTGACGACATTCCTTTGGGCACACTTTACTATTACTAATTTATATATAGCGTTTTCTCCCTATGAAGCTTCTGAAATGAAGTGTCTACTCTAGTTTAAAAAACCATGGTCTAAGATTATCCCTCTTTTGTGTAAGCTGTGTGAGTGGGAAATAAAAATCTCCATGAGGGAAATTTTCCTGCATGACACAGTAGGGGCCAAATTTGGTCCCTCAGTGGAATGCTGCCACTAAAATGTGGGAGATCCCATAGGGTCCCCCTGAAGGCCCCCTACTCCCCTATTGTGGCTCTGATCCCATCAGAATTTTCTTCCCAGCCCTGACTTCTTGGTAACGTGGCTCCAGAGGCTCCCCTCCTGGAGCTACATTGACTCTTATGACTGTTGATGCGATTTCCCCCTCATTCACGACTCTATAGGGATCACTGGGGAGTTTCTTAGACGGGGATACCTTTGCACCACAGACTCCCCAAGCCCTTTTCTACAAGGAAGACCATGCAATCCCATTCCACATTGATATAAGGAGGTACACTGTACCTCTTGGTTTATTAAATCAAAAAGTTTTTAAAGCATTACTATCAGTTAATCCCTAGATTTATTTCAGTAAAATCATATGCTAATGAATGCCTAGATAACTTAACTCTGTGGCTGGCTGTTCTTACCTAACACTAAAAAGAAATAAATATAGTAAGAAAGGATGTCATCAGTTGTGAGAATGGTTTATGTATGTGAGAGAGAGAGAGAGATTTTCATGACAATTCAGTCTTGAAATGTAATATGCTTGACTATATATTTACACACGGGTTCTTGCGCTGTATTTTTTTTTTTCTTGTTGGTTGGTTCATTTAAATATCCAGTTGGAAAATACAAACTATAATCTGGGGTTACTTCCTAGAAGTTGAGAAAAAAATTGGAGCCAATTTCCCATTTTCAGAATGTCTTCCCCCCCCCCCCCCCCCCTTTTCTTTCAGGCTAACTTGTGCTTTGTGGATATTGATAATCATTTCATCGAGCTTCCAGAAGAACTCCCCCAGTTCCCGAACAAACTGGAGTTTATTCAGGAAATCTCCGAGGTTCTCCTTCAGTTTGGAATCCCTCCGGAGGGTAACCTACACTGTAGCGAGAGTGCCACCAAACTCAAGAATCTTGTCCTTAATGACTTGGTTAATGACAAGAAGAATGGAAATATACCCAGCAACACAATCCACATGTATGAATTGCTGAAAGGCAATGAAACGATCGCCCGGCTGCATGCTCTAGCAAAGAGGACAGGAGTGACGGTAGACAAAATGACCATCACAGCTCCTATGGCAGAGAAAGAAAGGAATGTAAAACTACAGTGTGAAGAAGAGGAGCTAAGGGATTATAAACTAAATGTGCAGCTTCGTGAAGTCTTTGCCAACCGTTTCACTCAGATGTTTGCAGATTATGAGGCCTTCGTCATTCAAGCCGCACAGGATATGGAGTCATGGCTGACAAACAGGGAACAGATGCAAAACTTCGACAAAGTAAAAACAACCAGAAGCGTTACGTTTTAGTTGACTGCTATTGGGTGAAATGGCTAAATTTTATTCATTTCTTCATTATTCTCCCATTCCCCTGGGTATTTTGATGTATAGGGCCAGAACCTCAGTAGGTGTAGATCAGAATAATTTCATTGAAGTTTGTGCAGCTATCCACTGAGTCTGGCCTGCAGATGCAAATATAAGGCCAGGTCTACACTAGGGAGCAATGTCTAACTAAGGTATGTAGCTCCAGTTATGTGAATAGGTAGCGGGCATCAGTGTACCTTGTGTCAAGTTACTGCAGTGTATTCCACTGGGGGATGGGCAGGTCGATGGGAAAAACTCTCCAGTCGACTCGCCTTACTCTTCTCTCTGGTGGAGTACTGGAGTGGATGGGCACATGATCAGCAGTTGTAGATTCAGTGGGCCTTTATTAGACCCATTAATTTGACCCTGGGAAATCTATCCTCACAGTACTGATTGCCTGGTAAGTGTAGAAAAAGCCTAATTTTAGTCAATGGTTAAGCAGATGATGGAGTATTATCTGTGACTTCATTCAAAAGTGTAGTGATATATAAAGCTCTGCATGGATACAAAATTTGTATCTGTATCTGCAAAAATGAGCCACAGATATCTGCAGTTTTTTGGGGTTCTAGTGATATAAAAGCACTCTTACTTTGTGGGTATGTCTACACTTGCAGCCATTCGGAATTGCAAATCAAACCCAGGATTTAAATATCCCGCGCTTGATTTGCATGTTCCCGTCCGGGCGCCATTTTTGAAATTTACAAGCCCGGACTAACTGCCCACATCTACACACGGCAGGGAAACAGGCGTTCAAACTAAAGCCCTATTTCGAACTACCTGTTAAACCTCATTGCAGTAGTTAGTCCGGGCTTGTAAATTTCAAAAATGGCGCCCGGACGGGAACATGCAAATCAGTCGCGGGATATTTAAATCCCGGGCTTCATTTGCAACCTGGAATGCCTACATTAGCCTCCCTCGCTGGAGGTGCATTCATAGGACTTGAAAAATAAATCCATTCATAGGGACTTTTTTTAAGTAATACTTCTATTTTCCATCTATATTTCCTTTTTTCTTACAAGGCTTTGCAGTGAAACCTACATTTTTTTTCCTCTAAAATATCAAACTATGGACAGAGATGCGATGTTCAAAACCTAGCATTGTTCATTTAGCATTGTGAAAAGTAGGGTATGATATGATTTGTCAGGGAGCGGATAAAGATAATCTGAAATACTAGCAAAAGAAACAGAATGGGCACACAACTTTATTTCAGTGTGGCTTTTTAAAATAAACAATAATGCTTCTATAGCATCAGCTTTGGGGTTTTTTAATATCTAGATTCTATGCTGTGTGAGACAATAGGAAGATTAACTTCAAAGAAAAAACTAAGATTATTTTATGTCAGGTTTCACTCACTCACACACAAATGCTGGCTTTACTACATTCTTTAGCTTATGAGCATCTGTCATGACGGTAGTAGTGTTCCGCTCCCCCCGCTCACAAAAAAGTGCTTGTTTTACTGGGCTAATTTCTCAAGCATTTCTATAAATGCTATCCATTTCTGTGGTTTGTGAGTTTGAGATTTTCATACCCAAGTAAAGGTTTTAGCTACACGCCTCAGTTTTAACAGAAGCTGCATAGATCACTTCTCTCATTTTAAAAATCTCAGTCTAGATGTCTTTCCTTACAAACTGAGATTGCGTAACTGCCTTCAGGAGCATTATCTAACCTTTACCCATGTATTAAACAGTTGTTTCCTTGCTTCTAGTAGGTTCAGGTAGTAGGCAGATGCCAATTAGCCTTGTAAACACAATTGTTTGCTGACAAGGAGACAAAGGCTATGTGAGGTTCCTAAACCGTGTGCACTTGACAGTAGTCCGTAGGGAGAGGAGATGTTATGTGATGCTGACTCTTCCTGTTTCCAGCTGCTAAATTGCATTGGAAGATGCTAAGCAATACACTAAATACTTTTCTACACCATAAATTGGTGTAGCTATGAGAGAGATATCAGAGGTCACCCTGTGAGTACGTTTTGGGAGCCCTTGGATACATGAACTAGTAGGTCTTTTTTGTCTGCACTACAGCACAGGAGGGGTTTGTTTAATCAAAGTCCAAAGTAAGGATTCAGCACTAATTAACTATCTCTTATTGCAGGCTTCTTTTCTGTCGGACCAGCCTGAGCCTTACCTGCCATTCCTCTCACACTTCATTGAAACCCAGATGTTTGCAACCTTCATAGATAATAAGATTATGTCCCAATGGGAAGAGAAGGACCCTTTTCTGCGCGTGTTTGACTCCAGAATTGAGAAAATTAGACTGTATAACGTAAGGGTTCCTGCACTGCGGACATCTATATACCAGAAATGCGGCACTTTAAAAGAAGCAGGTATGTCCAGAGTTGTCGATGCTCAACTTCAAAAATAAAATTCAAGGGTACAGTGGAGACGATGACCTTAAATAAATGTAATTCTGAGCTGTTTGAGAGGGAGATGAGCAGTTTGTTGTAGTGAAAGTACTTAAGCTTTAATATGAAAGGTGTAGCGAGAAAGGCCATGCTGGCCATGTCCCCTCCCTTACTCTATGAAATTATATTTTTGAATTTTAGAATGAGTTTCATATTTTTGTGGACCCTGTATCTTTTCTCAACTTCTCACAGCTATTGGTGTTGCTCGGATAAGCTGCTGGGTGGCTGACTTCAGGAACAGCACTAAGAAGAAAAGCTGAGTTCCTGGGCCTAGCTCCCGTGGCAGTGCTCCTTTTCCAGCTACTCTCATAAGGAGCCAGCTTTGGATAGACGGGATCACAGATTCTGTTTTGTTAGGGAGATGTTAATAGAAATGGCTATGAATAGAGCCTTTGGTTGTGTTTTACTCTACAATGTGCAGTGACCTGGAGGCTCTTTAAAAAAATTGTGTTCACAGAATACATTTTTTTGTCGAAAGTCCCGCACAAGAAATTAGCTGTGGAGTACCTGTTTTCTGGAATTCTTGCTAAAAAGTCAACATACTCCTACCTTACAGAGGAGCAGTAAGCATGTCTTATTTCATTGAAAACTGTTCTAATTTGCAGGTCGACTATCTATTCAACGTCTTACTTCTGTTGATATTGTGGCACCGGAACCTCATGTTCTGTATCGTGAAAGGCAGCAAGTTGATAGTAACAGCAAGTCTCCTTCATGTTTATCAGTCACATGAATTGTGAACCCAGCACCAGTCACTTGTTTCTCTAACCAGCTATTTCTGGAACCCTCAGCGCAGGCATTTAATTTTCCAGTCTTGTGCCTCTCGGTATTTTGTGGTATCCACAGTAGAAGGCACTAAGGTCTGGTCTGCACTGTGTAGAAAGGTCGAAGTAAGATGCATAACTCCAGCTATATAAATTACGTAGTTGGAGTCGACGTAACTTAAATCCCCATCCACACAGCTGGAGGTTGACGGGAGCAAACACTCCCGACAGCTTCCCTTATTCCTCTTGAGGAGTAGGAGTACTGGTGCTGACAGGCGCCCTTTGAGTTCGATCTAGCACAGGGATTCCCAACCTATGGGTCGCCATTACATTTCAAAAGGGTCGCCAGGTGTCTCTTAAGGAGCCATTCACACATTTTTTTGAATTGCCCTGGGTCACCAAGTCTTCCTGAATTGTCAAAATGGGTTCCCATCTGGAAAAGGTTGGGAACCGTTGATCTAGCAGATTTATATTACACCTGCTAAATCAAACCCTGGGAGATCGACGATGGCAGCGTCAATCTTTCATGTAGTGTAGACATAACCTAAGACTAAATGGAAATTATTTATGTATTTATTTATTTATGTATTATATATATAAAAATCCCATAGTTTCTAATACAGAGGTTCTCAAACTTTATTTCCTGGGCCCCTGGGAAAGCAGTTCAGGTTTTGCCATCCTTACTTCTGTGCAACTGAGAGCAGTGTCTCTTCCTTCAGAGCTGGGTAGCCAAAGAGAGGGGTACTGTACCGGTTGCTCCCCTGGCCCTCCCTGGCAATATTTTGTTTGTTTGTTTGTTTGTTTGTTTGTTTTGTGATTTCATGACCTTCCTAAAATTGCCTTGCAACACATTTTTCGGTCAGGATCTCTACTTTGAGAAATGCTGTTCTAATACAAAATGCCAAAAGATCAGCACCTTTTCCATCTAATCTCTTCAGTAGAATAAGAGTTGTGGGATGTCCTCTTCACAAAATGGTCTAGGTCACAGCTGTAATTTTCTCCATTTTGCATATTTATTCATCTTTAGACTTGTTAAGGCTTAAAAAAAAGCCATTTACTTTAGTGTGGAGCTGAATAATCAAATTAATGTTTGGCAAACACAAATTTCTCCACTAAAGTTCACTGCTTGTTGTATCAGTTTAACGGCTGTGGAGTTTTTGGTCCCATTTTGCTGGAGACTTGGGATGAAATCCTGACCCCATTGAAGCCAATGACGAAACATCGTTGTACTTCAATAGGGCCTGCATGTCACCCAATGTTTTCTGGTGAGTCTTTGTCTCCCTGTCATAGCCTTAAGGGCTTGTATATTTTTTCCCTTCTTTACATGCTGCACTCTTTGAGCCATCCCTTTAATCAGGGGGCAGGGAACATTTTTTTGGGGTTGGGGGCCACTGTCCCACAGAAAAATCGGTCAAGGACTGTACACAAGCGAGAAGCCAAAAAAAAAAAACCTTCACCGACGTGGCCCTGATTGCAGAGGAGAAACAAACTCCCCACATTCCCCTTGCACACCAGAGCCTAATGGGGCCCAGGCTAAGTAGATTTTGTGTGCTCCACACCCACAGTAGGTGCAGGCTCCCCAGTGCTGGGGGTGTGGGAGCCCGGAGCCTTGGCGACTGGATCTGGGCAAGCCCCCGGCCACATCTGGCCCTCGGACCTGAAGTTTCCCACTCCTGCTTTTAATCTTGGTGGATTGAATAGGACTTTCTGTTATCAGTGACAGTTTTTATTTAGATCCAGGAGAATGACTTAGTAATCAGAGGACACTTCCAAGACCAGATTATGGCCTCCCAGATCCTGCCTGCCCAAGGAAATAGACTGAGAATACAACCTGGGCCTCTGTATAATAACACAGAGCACTACTAGCCTTTAGATAACTGAGCTAGTCTTAGACTAAAAGGTTTTAGTGATAAAGATGGTTAACTGACTCAAGTTAAGGGGCCATTCCTTTTCTCAACAACAAAGAAGTGACTTTTCCCTCCGCAATACATTTTTCTTTTACCAGTAGTTTGCACTAAATGCCTGCTTGTTTCATTTTTGTCAGCAGCAGTTTTCCTAGATTTAAAGAATTGCTGTAACAGCCCTGTCCACGTACTAATAACTAAAATGAAATAACGGCGCAAATATTTCCTTGTTTTTCATAAATAATGCATTTGAGAGATGTTCTTTTGATTAGGGATGTAACAGTACAGTTGATTAACAGATTAACCGATAAGCAAAAGTGTATAGGTTAATGCTATAGACTACACACATTCCTCTCTTCCCCTCTCCCTGTAATTTTTTTTAGAAGGCTGGCCAGCAGCCTGGCTCAGTCCTGGTTTGCAACGGGTTCAGGACCTACCCATGCTGTGGCTCTGCATTTAAAGTATATTAGGAGCTAGGAGGGCCCCGACTCAATCCTGGCTCACACTGGGTCTGGGAGCTCAGACCCGCCCTAAGCAGGACTGCTACCACCTTCTTGAAGCAGCAGCACGGTGACATGAGGGGAGCTGGTTTTTAAACTGGCTCCCCTTGCGGACCAGTTCCCACCTGGCACCCTGTGCTGTTGCCTCTGATGCACGGGCTGCTGGCCCCACCCTCAGGGACTATAGAATAGTCGACTGACTGATAAAATTTCATGAGGTTACTCGACTATTCAATTAACGGATATTTAACATCCCTACTTTGGATCACACTGTGCTTCTGCCTTGCCCTCCCACAAAATGAAATGTCATCATTAGCTGTCAGTCTGTACAGGCAGTCCCCGGGTTACATGGATCCGACTTACATCGGATCCCTACTTACAAACGGGGTGAGGCAACCCCGCACTAGCTGCTTCCCACCAGCAGACCAGGGAGACGCGAAGCTAGCGGAGTGGCTTTTCTCAGCAGACACCTCAGCTTGAGAATAAAGGACTGAGGGAAGTGAGGTGTGGGAGAATAAAACTGAGCTCAGGAGAAATGTCTGGCTACAGTTTCCCCTACAATATGTACCAGTTCCGACTTACATACAAATTCAACTTAAGAACAAACCTATAGTCCCTATCTTGTACGTAACCCGGGGACTGCCTGTATTAACAAACCACATTCCTTGCTTTGTAGAATGGCCAATAGGTTGAATGACCTGCTCTGCATTTCCGTTTTAGAACTCTGGCCACCGGGTACTCTGGGTGTTGGTTTCCCCAGCTGGCATGACTGAGAAGTACTGCAGCAGGAGGGTTCTCATTGTGTTCCTGTCATCACTCCACTACAGCAACACTTTACATTTACATAGTTGATCACAGGATGAAGCAATAAGCCTGGGTTTATTGGTGAATCCTGTCAACTGCATACATTCTCCTCCTCCCCACCCTTGTTGCCTCTGTTTGAGGCAGCCAAGGGTAGGGGAGGCAGTAGCTGGTGTCTTTGAGGAGCTGCCTTTTAAGCCGGCTCCCTATGAGCACCAGATCCTGTGGGAGCTGCCTGCTTTTCCCACCCTTCCCCACACACATACACCTCCACACTGTTGCCTCTGATAGAGAGGTGGAAGCATGGATGGTGACAGGGGAAGGCAGGAGCCAGTACACGTGGGAAGTCAGCTTTCAAGACAGCTTCCCACGCATATTGACTCTCATAGCTCCCTGCCCTGCCTCCCCCCTCTTCTTGCTGCCTACCACAGAGGCAGCAGGGGTGGGAGGAGATGGGGACATGAGCCAGTCAGTGCTCAAGGGAACCCAGCTTAAGGGGAGCCAGCTTAAAAGCCAGCTCCCCATAAGCACTGCCTCCACCTGCCCCCCTCCTCACTCTCCTCCCCATCCGGGGAATGTGAGGGGGATGCCAACACAGCCTCTGTCCACAGGGAGCTTGGGGCCCCCCCCATAGACAGACTGCTACCATCCTAAGGGACTATGAAATCATGTAACTGCTAAAATTTGATGTGGTCCCACAATTTATTCAATTACACAGTATTTTAACATCCCTACTTCCCATTGTGCAGCCCTACAGAGTCAGGTGAGAGAGATGGTCTTCGGTGTGTGTAAAAGGCAGAAAGGAAAATGCCTCTATTTCAGTGGTGGAGAGGGCACTCCTCAAGCTGCATGCAAGTCCCTCTTTACATGCTTTAGAAAGTTTATTGCTTGCTGTGACTAAAATGCTCAATTAACTCATTGTAGAACTTACACAAAATCAGAGCATGGTTAAATTCCTGGCTGTGGCATATGCTATAGATTAGAGCACTAAAATAGTTACTCATGCATGCATGTCTTTTTGCAGCCCAATCCATTGAACAGCGGCTAATGAAGATTGATCACACTGCCCTTCACCCACACTTACTTGATATGAAAATCGGTCAAGGCAAATATGAACAAGGGTTCTTCCCAAAGTTGCAATCAGATGTGCTGGCAACAGGACCTACCAATAACAAGTAAGCCCCCTTGTTACTTCCTGGACTTCTGAAGATGATTTACTAATGAAGGTGTGTGTTTTGGGGTGTTTTTAATTGACCCACTGTATAGAGAGAAGCCAGGAATTATAGGTATTTCTAATTCAGTAAAATGGAGGCAGCTTTCACCATTTGTATCTTACCTGAAGTGGGAACTTTTGAGTTCACAGTTGACTTTATGGTGTCTCTCTAAGCTCTGTCTAATGCTAGTTTGAGATAGTTAATCAGTGGTCACTTTTTATTTGTTTCAGTCATATCATATATTTAAGCAAAATGCAGGACAATGTAGCACTTTAAAGACTAACAAGATGGTTTATTAGATGATGAGCTTTCGTGGGCCAGACCCACTTCCTCAGATTTGAGGAAGTGGGTCTGGCCCCCGAAAGCTCATCATCTAATAAACCATCTTGTTAGTCTTTAAAGTGCTACATTGTCCTGCATTTTGCTTCAGCTACCCCAGACTAACACGGCTACATTTCAATCATCATATATTTACTGTGTCCGTCTCTCACTTGGTATTATGTTTGGTTTTGTCCCTAATTTCATAGAAAAGTAAAATGTCACTTCCACCATCAATCAGAACTAAGAATTTCAAGTCCTGGTATCTTATGCATTTTTAAGGAAAACAGGAAGTCATGAGATGAAATCAGTGTTCAGCCAAATGAAAGACATTAAGGAATTTACAGGAGAAATCCTAATAATGGTTTTGGTCCATTGGTAGATAGAAATGATAGAATTGTTAGTAATAATTCAGAACATGTAGAAATGTTCAATAAATGTTTGTTTTGTATTTGGGGTGTTGCCTGTAGCCAGCCGGACATGATCCCCAGCCCCCATCGGAGTCTAGCTGGCTGGACGCACTCCCCTGCTTTCCCCCCTGCCCTTGATTGTGGCTCTCTTAGCAACAATTGGTTAGGTGTCAAGTGATACAATTTGTTAGGCTTTTTGGTATGTCATCTTGTTGTGTTAACCCATGCCATTTATGTCAGGTTTTTTGTTACATCAAGGCCAGACTTCGCCTAGAAACAATATTGCTTAATGTGTGCTTATGAATGTGTATATAATCTTTCTATGGAATGCATGTGGAAGTGTGAATGAGAAATACCCAATCGTAAGGCAGTCTAGGATCTGTAACCGTAAGGCAAGTAATGATTCTGCAAAGTAGATCAATTTAACTGATGAGCAGCTGGGGAAAAAAATCTCTTCTCAGAAGGGATGTAACGGCATGTGAAACCTGGGATGGAATCAGAGGCAGTAGCCCTCCCATGGATCTGAAGGGACATCAGGGACTGTTATGGCCTTGTGGTCAATCTCGGGGAAGCTGACGCCTGTAACCGTAAGGCAAGTAATGATTCTGCAAAGTAGATCAATTTAACTGATGAGCAGCTGGGGAAAAAAATCTCTTCTCAGAAGGGATGTAACGGCATGTGAAACCTGGGATGGAATCAGAGGCAGTAGCCCTCCCATGGATCTGAAGGGACATCAGGGACTGTTATGGCCTTGTGGTCAATCTCGGGGAAGCTGACGCCTGACCATGTGTGTGTGTGTGTGTGTGTGTGTGTGTGTGTGTGTGTGTGTGTGTGTGTGTGTGTGTGTGTGTGTGCGCGCTGCTTGAGGTCACCCTTTGTCTGGGTTATTCCTTGGCTGAGTCCAAGGACAGCTAACATTGCCTGATATAAGATTGCTTGTGAATTTCCAGTTACCACCTTTAGGGTTGACCTTAGCTCCAGGATCAGGCCCAGTATTAAGTTTATTCTCTGGTTGGGAACCCTGATGTGCGCAGATGCAACACTCACGCTGTAGGAACTCGTATTAATACATTTTAGCACAGTCAAAAACACCCCAATTTCATAAGATAAATAGGGATTGTACATTCTATTTTCGTGCCATATACTCACCACTGAACAACCTGATGTGCTAGCCATCATTTTCCTCATCACCTGCACCTTTCCAGTTATCACCAGAGGCCATCATTCTGGCTCCTCCCAAGGTCTACATCATCTTCTCCTACTATCCTCCGGTTGGGATGCCACTTTTATCATCTGTTATGCTGACTGTAGGTTTGCATATTCATAGGGAATGTTTCCTTTTCTCCTTATTTGTATTTCCTCACCTTACTGGTTGTCTGTCACATTTATTATTTCTTTTCTGCCCAGTTATTTGGTCTTGTCTCAACCAGTTATTTCAGGTTTTTCTAAGTAATAATGTATCTGCTAAATTTGAGGTTATTCTTGGAAGCCCCTCTACCGGGGTGGGCAAAAGGGCCAATGTGGGCTGCACTGGGCTGCCCAAGTGAGTTGGTCTGACCCGTGGTGGCCCTGCTGCTCCTCCCACCCCCAGGCCAATCAAGGTCTTTCCCTGCCCTGTAAGAAGTGTGCAGTGCTTAGAAGCACCGTGTGGGGGGAGACTTCGTGTGCATCCCTGTCCCCGGCTAATCAAGCCTTGAGGGCAGAGGGAGCATGTGAAGTCTCCTCCTGTCCTCCAGTCTGGGGGCAGGGTGGGAGGAGACTTGGCACGCTCCCCAGGCCAATCTCCCTCGCCCTCAAGCTCTGTCATGTGAAGTCTTCTGCCTGCCTGCAAAGGGCTCAGCACTTAAAGTCAACCATGAGCTGCTGCTCAGCTGGCACTTGACTCTAAGCAGGGTGCTCCCTTGCAGGGTGGAGGCAGGAAGCAAGAGACTTCACGTGCTCCCCCTCCCCAGGTGGTTCTCTCTGGGAGAGGCAAAGACATTGCATGCTCCCCCACCCCCAGACCAATCAAGATGTGTGGATGGAGAAGCATGGAAGTGTCCTGGCCCACCCCTTCTGCCTGAAGTCCCGCCCCTGCTGGGGCAGCCCAGGACTACTACAAACATTTCGGATGTGGCCCCCAGTTTAAAAAATATATATATTGCCCAGCCCTGCTCTAGACCATGAAAATTCACTTTATTACAGTGGTCACCAACCAGTAGCTTGGGATCTACTGGGTAGATCTTGGAAACTGACAAGGGATCCTGACAGGTTTGGCCGGGAGGCTGTCAAGTGCCGGCACTTCATCTGCCCCTCTCAGCACTGCCGTGCTGCTCCTGACCTCTGCCTTGGAGGTGCCACACCAGCCCCAGGAGCCTCCTGCTTGCTGTACAGAGCACAGAAAGAAGAGGAAGGGGGGTGCTAATGTCAGGATCCCCTTCCCTCCACCCTGTACCCCATCTCTAGAGCAAAGGGGGGCAGGAATGAAGAGCGTTTGCTGGCTGCTTTTGGGAGTGGTGCGGGGCCAGGATAGTGGTGAGCCTGCCTTAGTTCCCTGTACCACCACTACCCAAAATCCATCTGTGATAAGAGGTGCCCACCTGGAGACTGCATTCCAAACCCAGCCGCAGTCCTTAACCCCTCCTGCATTCCAAACCCCTGCCCTAGCCCTGAGTTCCCCTGCACCCAAACTCCCTCCCAGAGCGTGCACCCTAAACCCCCTCCTGTTCCTCAACTCCCTGCTCCAGGAATAGCTCAGAACCTCTTCCACACTCCAAGTCCGTTAGCCCAAGATCAGTATCCACATCTCCTTCCTCCGCACCCCAACCCAATAAAAGTGAGTGAGGGTCAGGGAGGGAGGATGGAGTGAGCATGGGCAGGAAGGAGGTGGGGCAAGGTTTGGGTTTGAGGTGGATCCTGGATTGCACTTAAATTCAAAAAGTGATCTTGTGCTTAAAAAGGTTGGAGACCACTATCTTACCACCATCTATCTATCTGGATGAAAGGTCCTGAACATATGTGAGCTAACTCTGTTGTCTGGATGAAAAGTCCTGGACCAAAAATGCTAACTTTGCCTTCGCTCAGAATATAGGATGTGGCCTGTCTCTAGTTTTACGGCAAACTGTCAGTATAAACCTACCGTAACTTATTATAATAAGCAGGGCTCGCCAAGCCCTTGTTAGTCTTTAAAGTGCTACATATTCCTAGATTTTGTTACATCCTCCATGGTCACCCAAGTGAGCATGCTCCAGTCGGCTCGGGAAAGGAAGGAGCAGCACACTGCCTGAGCCTCCCTCCCCCATGTTCCGGCTGGCCGGGAGAAGGCTGGGTCTGATTTCCTTCCCCATGAACGAGGCCAACCTCGCTGCGGGGGCGCAGATCAGCCCCAGCCTTCCCCCCTATCTGGAGCATGGGGAAGAAGGCTCAGGTAGCCCGCCACTCCTGCCTTCCCTCTGGCTGAGAAAAGCACACTTACTTGGGGGATCTTGAGGGAGTGCCTTCTCACCCTCCCTGCATATGGCCAGTAGACCTTAGATGTTGATTTTTCTCCCCCCCCAGTAAGTCTTGGTATGCTTAGGGGGAAGCTTAGGGTGACAAGAATAAAGCTAATGTGGTGTCAGTATTTTTTTTTTTAAAGGGTAAGTAGTATGACTTGAGCAATTAAAAGACCTGTTGGCCTGACTTTAGATCCTGGACAAAACAACAATTGCTGGAAGTTGAAGCTAGACGAATTCAGACAAGAAATAAAGGTGCACATTTTTAACAACAAGGGTAATAAACTTCAGGAACAATTTAAGAAGGGTTGTAATGGACAGTCAATTCCTGGAAACTTCTTAAATCAACACCGAATGTTTTTCTAAAAGATTGGCTCTAGTTCAACCACAGATATTAGACCCAAAGCTGGAATTAATTCAAGTCAGTCCAATGGCCTGTGTTACATAGGAAATCAGTGTGGACAATCACATGGTCCTCTCTGCACCTTTCCCTGCACCCCATCATATGCGCACACACTCTGGCAACCCGACAGCGTAGCGTGAAAGGCCTACATATCTTAACTTCTTCCTGGCTCTCAGCTAGTCCTTCATTCCCCTCCCACTTACAATGGCGTAGACCTTCATAATGTGATGCTTCATTTTTTTTTTTTTTCTTGCATCCTTTAAGCAGTGAACTATTTTGGCATTTGAAGTATTGTGATTGGCATCTGAGTATGCACCCACTGAAATGAAGGGGAAGTTCACAGCTATTGTTTCATGT